AGTACAAAAGTGAAATGCAATTCTGAAAAAGTGCTTGTGCTTAAATCATCCAAAGGACATGCAGCAGAGTGGATTTATAATGACATTTCAACCTTCCAGAATGTTCATGTCACTTCTGACACAATGCACCAGCTGAAGTTTTGAAACTTCCAACCATCATTAGTTCCATAAAGTTCAGTATGGGAATTTATTTATTTAGATTTTTTGGCTGCCCTTCCATGCAAGCAGGGCTCAGGGCCACTTACAACAAAGGTGTGGGGCAGGGTAGTAGCTGGTGTACATAGTACAACTGTGACTTACAGTGGCTACCTCTCCCTCAGATCTTTTCTTCCTGTATAGAAATGTCTCTTTTGGTTGCTATAGGAACATTTTCCTCAAGTATACCACCTACTTTTTGCATAACTGTAGACATCTGTTGCCTGGCTATTTTCATCACTGTTACAACTTCTGTGGCAAGGTTTGGAAAACCCCTTGCCAATTTATTTATTTATTTATTTATACATTCAATTTATATACCGCTCTAACCCCGAAGGATCTCTGAGCGGTTTACATACAGATTCCAATTTCCAATTTTCCTATCTAAGGCCACATATTACACAAGGGACGGGACTGCCTACCGGCACCCAGGTGGCAGGGCTTGCTGTTCTCGGCTCCTTCTTCCAGGCGGTCTTCGGGTGTTGGCGTTCAGTCTCTGGTGTCCTGGAGTAGGTCTTTCAGTCCAGTGGCTTCCTCTGGCAGGCCCGTCTTGGTGTGCGGTTCGTGTTAGCTCCGACTAACGTCCATTTCCGGCTCCGCTGCGCCTGCGCCGCCACGTCATCGCGCCTTCCACGACTCTGCCTCCGCCGGATTTCGTCACTCGATGTTGCGCTCACTGGCCACCAGGGCTTGCTTCACCAACCTCGCCGTTGCTCTGCCGCTCCGACGATGACGACCTCGCCGCCACTTCGTCACTACGCCACCATTTCCTCAAGTATACCACCTACTTTTTGCATAACTGTAGACATCTGTTGCCTGGCTATTTTCATCACTGTTATAACTTCTGTGGCAAGGTTTGGAAAAACCCTTGCCAATTCCACTAGTGGGTATCCCTCTCACGCACAAAAGGGCATATATCACACCAGGGCTCAGAGCTGGCTTTATAATGAGATAACTTGAAGCAGTCACCTCAATAGATATTCAGGGGGGTAGCAATTTCCCATTCCACCTGCTGCCAACCCATGTGGGGCCTGGAGATCTCCTGGAATTATAACTAATTGTAATTGTAAATGGCTGCTTTGGAGGGGGGGCTTTACAGCATTATATCCTGCTGAGCCCCCTCCCCTCCCTAGCCTCTACCCCATAACTTCACAAACCAGACGTGGCACCCCATCTGTTTTGGTCCTCATTTGAAGCTTGAAGGGTGTAATGTATTGAAATGATTACATGAATCACCTCATAGGACTCCCCTGTTAAGCTTCGAGCCAGACCAGGGCTCCTCTGAGCGAACTTCCTATTGGTCGCTTCGTAACAGCGACCAATCAGAACGATACCATTCCCTAGGAGGGAAAGACTCCCATTGGTCTTTATTCTAGCAATCTCATTGGTTGTTATTTGTAAATAGGCGTGGCTACATTAGCCCGGTTATGTTTAAAAGGAGCATAAGCTCCCACTGTTTTCTGTTCTGGTTTCTTACTGAGTTAGTGCTTGCTCGTTACTTCCAATAAAGCTGAATCACTTGCTGAATCACTGTACGAGTCCTTTGTTAGCGCGATCTAACAAAGGGGGCATCCAGTTTATCTCCGCATCCCCCCCCCAAGCAAGCTGCAAACTCTCCCCACCTTCCTCCTTCTTGCAAGAGTTCAGCCACCATTTCTGACTCTTCTTCTAAGAATAAGGAATCTGGCCAGACGAAGGGGTCTCCAATATTGTTGAGCTTCTTGGGCACTATTGTGATTTGAGATTGTGGAATAGGTGCCACCCAAAATAAATGGCTGCCATTAGGTACTGTGGCCATTCACAAAATGTTGGGAGGTTGCAAACTGAGCACCCTATTCTGATGGAGGCACGTGTTCTTGTGGACACAAAGTTGATGCCTCCTGGGTTCTTCTGAAGCTCCTCCTGCTCCAGTGAGGTGGAGGAAAACCAAAATTGGCCTTTTGCTTTGGAGAAGAGATGTTTTGTCAAAGAAGCAACTGTGTACCAGGAAAGCCATTGGTGGGCACCATGTTGCAGGGGGTCACTACTATAGGGTCATATATGGCTTGCTCCAATATTTTTGAAGGGGGCAGTGAAGAGGTAAGGAGGGCTATGTTCTCCAGCTCCTGGGGAGCAGCAGTGGGAAGGTGTGGGGCAGGGTAGTAGCTAGTGTACACAGTACAACAAATAAACAAAATAAAGGTACTTTCAAAGGATAGCTGTGTTGGTTTAGAGTAGAACAGATAGAACATAAGAGAAGCCAATGTCGGATCAGGCCAATGGCCCATCCAGTCCAACACTCTGTCACATAGTGGCCAAAAATACCAAGTGCCATCTGGAGGTCCAGCAGTGGAGCCATTGACCCCGCTGAGCACCAAGAATACAGTGCATCACCTGCCCCATCCTTTGAGTTCCTATCTATACCTTGTGGCTAATTAGCCACTGATGGACCTCTGCTCCATATGTTTGTCCAATTCCCTCTTGAAGCCGTCCATGCTTGTAGCTGCCACCACCTCCTGTGGCAGTGAATTCCATGTGTTAATCACTCTTTGGATGAAAAAGTACTTCCTTTTATCCATTCTAACTCAACTGCTCAGCAAGCTAGATTCAAGTCCAGTAGAACCTCAGAGATGAACAAGATTTTGTGGGTATGAGCTTTGGAGAGTCAAATCTCCTTTCATCAGATATGAATAGCAATGGGGATCTGAGTCCTTCTGTCCCAGTCAGAAGGTGGCACAACTGTTGGGAAGAAGGAACTCAGGCCCATTATGCACAGACAGCTGTTTCTCTGAAACTGCAGAGAATCCGAGCAGTCAAGCCGTTAAGCTTGACTTCGGTTTTGTGTGCCTGCCTTACGCACCATTGCATCAGGACGCAGTGGTAAAATGTGCATTGTAATCAGCTTGATTCCAGCAGACAGGAAATGCTTGGGGCAGAAAATTAGCATCTGTAGTGAGATAAGAATCCTAAAGGTGACACCCTTGAAACTGGCAAGGCTTTCTTCCACATGCAGTTTGTGTCAAAGCATCTCATGAATTCATGTGAGTTTAATTGGAGATCAAGGATGGGAGACAGGCTGCTCAAATAGTTAGGGAAGCAAGCAGAGCAGTGTATCAGAAGGGGTGGCGTTTTAGGTCAGGTCGGATGGTCTCTGTCCAGCTCACAATGGGAGGGAGTGCCTCTCAGTGGTGTAGCAATACTGGCCAGTGTCTGGTGTGGTTGACATTGCAAGCAGGAGAAGTGTAACTTGGGAATCCGGCCTTGCACCTTATCTGAAACAGAAAACGATTCCTCAGTGATTCCTTGAAAATAATATAATATATTTCTTAGTCAATAATCTTTGAATATATCTCTGGGTCAAGATACTTTAAATCTGGCGTACTCTCAAGTAGAGTAAGAGGACGGCAAGGAGGAGGAGGAGGAGGAGGCCCCGCCCCCCGCCACGTTGAAAGGAAATCTACCCCTCCCCCTCTTCCGCAGTCAATCGCTTCCTTTCAGTCACTCCAGACGTCTCTTGAGTGGTTAGAAGGAGGAGCGATTTCCTGGACTCTAATTGAAGGAGCGATTTCCTGGACTCTGATTGGCTACCTGTTGTAGGAGATGGGTGTGTCTCTTCAGCTAGTCCGTCAGATTTCTAGGCAAAGAGCTACGAAAAGAGAGAGTGGTGCAGAGCACTCCCTTCCTGTAACAGTCGAAGTTTTCCATAGAAAGGGGAGGAGTGATGGTGTAATAGGAATGAATGCACTTTTTAAATAATAAGGGATTTGAAATAATCAGAGCCTTGAAGTAGTCTACACAAAGTTCTGCGCAAATAAAATTCTCCCGATGGTTGGATCACCCTGCTTCTCCACTGGCTTGTTGGAGTAGAAATCCCAGTTTTTCTCTACCTCTTCCTTGCCTCACCGACATACATTTTATTTACTGACCAAGCAATGTAGAGACTATGTTGTTTAATTAAGTTTATGTGTTTTTCCACTGGTTATTCAACAAAGGCATATTATCGTGCTTGCCTGCAGAATCCCAGAAGAATATAACAGTTCAGGAAGTTGCCCTATGTTCAGAATATATCTTTGAAAATAAAAGCCACGTGATAGCTTTTGTTAGGAGTCGGACCCACTAAAACAACACAAAACAATGCAGGCTTTTGCATTTTCCCGAACTCTTCATGCGGCTGGATGTAAAAAACAACAACAACAAAGGGGAGGGGGAAGAGTTTTGGAGAACATGACATTTTAAAAAATTCATTTATACCTGCCTTTCTCCCCAGTGGGGACCCGAAGCATTTTACATTATTCTCCGTTTTATCACAACAGCAACCCCGTGAGGTAGGATAGGCTGAGAGAATGTGATTGGCCCAAGTTCACCCAACGAACTTCCATGGCACAAGTGAGGAATCAGGCATGGGTCTTTCAGATAAGTAGTCCGACAATCTTAACCAGTACAACTCAGTGTATTTGAATTTTGCTTATTAAGAGGTATTTAAAAGCACATGAGCCCTGCTGGTGGGAGAATCGTCCGTGCGTAGTGTAGTTTTGTTCTTTTTTGGAGTGAGTGGGAGGTATATATATAACGATTATTTAAAAACACTGCAATGGAAAGGAAAAAAGTTCCCCCCCCATCCCTATATAGGTTCGCCACCCTTGCCCCGCACATGGAGGACTGCCGCGACTGCACTTTGGAACCGGAAGTTAAACTAGAGAACCATTCGATCTGATTACTCTTTCAATCGCGTCAAGGGCTGAATCCCCGCCTCCACTCAACGATCGATTTTACGCACGCGCAGCACGCTATGCCCGCTCTGGATGGCGGTTGGTTAACCCTTCGTCGAGTTGGCAGAACTTCCGCTTTCCTTGGCGTTCTGCTGCCGGGTTCGCGGCTTTCCGGCTTTGGCTTCGTTAATTCCCTCACAGCCACTTGGGGAATCTTGAGGCGAGAGACGCGGGGAGGGCGCTGGCCGGAGCCGACTCGGGCCTCTCCTTCCGCGAAAGAAAGAAGCCTTTGAGTGGGTATTAAACTGCCGAGGTTAACCGAGCGACAGGCGCTGGCGAGGGACATCGGGTGGGCTCTTCGGGAGAGGGGAGAGGGCGGCGGCAGCGGGCCTGTCCCTGGAAGCGCCTGGAAATCCAGAGAGCCTGGCTAAAGCCTTAGCGGGGGAGCCGTGTTGGTGTCTTTTACAGGCCGAAACAACGGGCAGTCCTTTGTGGCAACTTAAGACTGAGACTTATTTTGGCAGAATCCTTTCTGGCCTAGAGCCCACTTCATCAGATGTATGAAGTGTGTTATCAATTGGTAGACGTGTGTGTGTGGGGGAGAGAGAGAGAGAGTATTGGCAAAATGATGAACAGTGGGGCTAAAAATCTATGAAATCGGTGAGTCAGTAGGTTTGTAATGCTTCTGTGGCTACTGGGATGTGCTCAGGTAATTGCAGAGAGAGAGAAAAGGAATCTTGTGTCACCTAATAGGTCTATTGTGGAAAAAAAGCCTTGTGAGTCAGAGTGTAGATCATGAAGGGTTCTCCTCACATGGTATCTCTCCATTTGCATGCACAGGCGTGACTTTTTTTTGAGGGGGGAAACTTAGTGGGGCCAAAAGGCCATGAAAGCTCTGTGACCTTTACTATGCATAATTTTGCAATGGTTATTGTGTAAATGTGTGGGTGATGGGTCTGCTGTATTCATTTAAATGATTTCTGCCCCGCCCCACCTTTATATGACTCAGGCATTTTATAAAATGTGTAAAACAAAGCAACAAATTAACAAAATAAACCTCAGCTATAGGGCTTTTTGAGTTCTCTTGTCGTTTCATCCCATTTCTGTATGTGTGCATGTAAATGATAAAACCATATGGATAAAATGATTTATGTCTCTGATGAACTGGTGCATGAAAACTTGAGTCCTAATAAATGTCTTTGAAGTATTGCAAGATTATTGGGAAGGGAAGGGTTTATGCTGAACAGACAGACATAAGTAGGGGCTAAGGTGCTGTCAAGGGGTTGCCTTGGTAATCTGAAACATTGTGGCTTCTCTCATCCCCTCCTGCCCCTTCAGTGGCTTGTAGCCATCGCATGGTCCTTTCTTGTTCCCCTGTGCTTGTGCTACAGTAGACAGTTCTTTATTTCAGAGTATCCTGGCAACTTATCTTGTCTCTCATGGACTATTCTAAGTGTGTAAACCTGTTGGGTTATTATAACTCCTGCCTCCTACATCCTCACAAAAGAAATATAGAGTTGCCTATGATGAGAATGATGGGAGAAACCCTAGGCCAGCATGTTTGAATTGCATGATTTGACATTTCTGGGACAAAGTTTTTTTTCCCCAGTTGTTGTCACAACCTGGCAATGATCTTGAAGTAGAGCAAATCATTTTACAAGCAGAGCAGTAAAAATGAAATAAAATACTTATTTTAAATGTAATGTTGGATGTTTTCTGTTTGAGCCGAGTGTTACAGATAGTGTGGAACAGAAATTTGTGTAAAGAATGATATTTTTGATGGTGTTATTTTTCAGTACCTGGTGTTTGTGCATCTGAGATCAAACAGAACTAGTACTTACAGTGGAAGTCATAACTTCATTTTTGTATGGAATGAAAAAAGAATGGCCTTTTAAAAATCAGAGAGACACAGCAATGGATGTTCTTATGCTGTTTTGCTTTTTTAATCAAAGATGCTTGTCTTTCCTTTGGTAGTAGTTATGACCATACTGAATGCCTATTTAAAATTGTTGATCATGAAGAACATTTTATTGCAGTATGTGACGACCCCTTCTCTGGGGAGGTCTGGTTTTACTTTAAAAATGTTCCTTTTATTTTATTTTACTGGGTATTCCGGCTGCCACCAGGAAATTTAAGGCTTTCCAAACCTAATCTTTACTGTTTCCTAGACACTCAGCTTCAGCTTATAACTGTTTCAACACAGAACTGCTTGTCACTTTCTTTCAGACACAGCACTTAACTCTCATATCACACACAAGAAGGTCTCTCCTTCAGACCCCAGAACTAAACGCATCCCACACAGGGATGCTTCACTCTTCTCATTCACAGAACTTCTCTCTCTCATACTTCAGAACTAACTGCTTAACTGAACATCAACTGTCTTCATCAACGGTCATATCTCCAACTGACTCTCTTGACTGACATATCTGCTCATCCACACAGAATCATTTCCAAAACCCCTCCCCCTCTCTGTCACTCACCAATCACACCACTTGCTTGTTTCCACTACTCTAGACTATCATACAGCCATGCATCCAAACTTTTAAAGTCACACACACACACACAGTTAAACATGAAATCGTTACGCAGTATATTGTAGATCTGTGCATACATGTATGTAAATAAACTGGCTGAAATTAATAGAACTGACTTCCAAGTACGTTTGCCATAATGTTGGTGTTTGTAGGAAGTCCTCCTGTGTCTCATTTTCTCGTGCGTAGAGAATTTGGGTTTTGTCTTGAGATAAGCTTACAGATGCCCAGTTAAGAATGCATACTGACACTTGTTCTTGTGGTATAAGTGTATTTTACTGTTCAACTGTATTTTTGTGTGTTTCTTTGCTCAGGTTACTGAGAATTGGAGGGGCTTAAGCAGATACAAGGATGAAGCTGTATAGCCTAAGTGTACTTTACAAAGGAGATCCCAAAGTGCATTTACTGAAAGCTGCCTATGATGTATCATCATTTAGTTTTTTCCAGAGATCCAGGTATGTTCTGAAAACCTCAGCACGGTTACTAGAGCTTCTTCCTGTGGTATTTTCCTGACTTCCTTGAAGGACTTGAACTTGGATTGTGGTGTCCCCATTATGGTAGTTGCATGGATCTCAAAATGCTCACCTGGACAGAGGCCTATAGTTTTTTGTGCTGGTAGAAAGTGTTATCATTTCATTGCCTTTAGTCTTGTTTTTTTTAAATTCCTTCTCCATAGGAATGATACAAGGAGTTTAGGAGGCCCCTTCTGCTAATCTGAGCATAGTTTTCAGATGTGTTGTTTCCTTTCACTTGCAAGTGGAGTATAAACAGCCTTGAAATTAGCTCACCTAATTTCTTCTCAGTTGTCCTACTAACAAAGATTGTGCCGACTAATCGAATTTAACCTCTCAGGAGTGAGATGGAAAGCCATCTTATGAAAAAAATTGAAGATTCTTAGATCTAGAAAAGAAAAATTGCTACAAAGTCAAAATCCACTTTTCTTTGTTCATCATTTGTAATAGGATTACTTCCCTGTGTACTGAAATGCTCAATCTTCTCAGAAAAGAACATTCAAAACACTTGAGTAAGCTTCCTTTAATAGTTGGGATCGATGTACTACTGCTTGAGCTTTGAACTGACATCAGAATAATTGCTAGTTGGGACTGACTGGATGGTCCTATTTGTTGGGAGGCTGGTGGTCATTTTTGTGAAAAAACTATCTTTCTACTAGGACCCAGTAAAATCTTGAAAGGAAAACCATGTGTAAATTAAGGAACATCATTTGCTCTGCAGATCTCTTCTTACTAGTTATTGTGTTATAGGGAGTTCATAATTCAGTTGATTATTTTTTTTTGGGAATCTGAAGGCTTCCAAATCCAGTGTGGTGCCGTAGTTAGAGTGTTGGACTAGTATCTGGGAGACCCAGGTTTGAATCCCCACTTGTGCCATGGAATCCCCACCCGTACCTTGGACCAGTCGCACACGCTCAGCCTAACCTACCTCACAGTGTTGTTTTGAGGATAAAATGGGGGAGAGGAGAAGGATGCAAGCCACTTCAGGTCCCCATTGGGGAGAAAGAAGGGGTATAAATGGATTTTAAAAAAAATCTGTGGGGAACTTTACTAAGTAAACTTCAAGGAATTACATTTCTCGTTTCTCCCCCCCCCCCCCCCCCGCCCAGTGTTCAGGAATTCATGACCTTCACAAGTCAACTGATAGTAGAGCGTTCAGACCTAGGCAGCAGAGCTTCTGTAAAGGAACAAGGTAAGAGTATGCAGAAATAAGCAATGACTATAAGAGCATAGCCTTTACTGAAATTGCTAGAGTTAGGCCTTGGGAGTTAAGAGGTTTATACTGCATCTATCTTCCACGTAACATCCGAACATATTGTCTTGTGCAATAAATGTTTTACTTCTTGTTTAATTAATTTTTTTCCCCTTTAGGCAAGAGGGTTTTGAAACCTCCCTTAAAAGCATCTAATAAGAAATGGCTTCTGCTAAGCTGGTCCACCGAAAGGCTGTTAATTGGCATAGGAAAATATCACACACTGATATGAGCTGGAATGGCTCCATTCATCCTTTTCATATTTGTCTTTAAATGCCCTAAGCAAATGGTTAAAGTAGCAACTGAGGCAAGAGGATCCTAGACTTATCCAGATGGAATTTCAGCTCAGCCTTCCCCAGTGGAAAACTGAACAGTGGCAGAAACCTGCCTGACAACAAACCACATTCCTGCAGTTTTCTTACTGCCCCAGTGAAGCACCAGCTCAGACCCTGAATTGGCTTTGTTTTTCCACAGTAGCAAGTCCATTCTACTTGATTTTTCCCCCCTGCCCATTGTACTCATTGTACTGTTCTGTATATATTTGTACTAGTCTTCTGGAAACATTCTGGTGCTGTTTTATCTGTTGAAAATATTAGGTGTGGGTTGTGTGTTCTTTATTTGGAATCCTGGCAGACTTTCTTTTTAAGGCCAGCTTCTAGTATCTGTGGCGAGCATCAGTATGTTGTTGAGCTGTGTCTTGTGAAATCCCAGAAGTGGGAGGGGTCTAGGCAGAGCTGCTTGGGATCAGGGGTGTTTTCCTACAGTGTCCTGTGCTGATCCTTATTACTCTCCTATAGCATCATGCCTCAGTATTTCCCATCTTCTCTTGCCCTGGTGCTCTGAAAAATGTATTCAGTTGTGCCCTGGAGGATGTCTATTCCTGACTGTATGGTGCTTTAGGAAAGACTTGTGTTATAGTCTAGCTCTGCATTTCCCCCCGCCCCACCCCAAGTATTCACACTGGTATATAATTGATTTTTATGGAGGTTCTGCATTGCTGATCTTAAGGGGCTGATTTTGTGTTGGGCATTGTACAGTGTCATGGGTGTAGAATTCTTCCTACTTTAGTCCCACGGGGTTTGTGTGTGTGTCCATTCCACAGTGAAGGAATGGCATAGCCCTATTTTTGTTTTGTAGCTGACGTGCAGCTGAGATGTTATTAAATCTAGAATCACTTATCCAGAATAGGTGAATCTGACAGTGCAAGCTGAACTGTGGTTCCAGATGAACTCGTCATTTCGACTGCCTTCTCATGCAAGCACTAAGCAATTTTGCATTTTCTTTTTGCTTCAGAGTACCTCTGTCATGTTTATGTGCGCAATGATGGGTTGGCTGGAGTGGTGATTGCAGACAATGAATACCCACCACGGGTCTGCTTCACCTTGTTGGATAAGGTAAGCACAAGTTCCTACCATGAAGGTAGACATTGCAGTAGGCGATAGACGGTCTAATGTGCTTTTGGCCGTGAAGCCTTTACCTTACTTGCACTTAAAGCCTTGTCTTAAGCCTTTGAGGGCCTTTGACTTCCAACAAGAATAGTTTCTCTACCATTTCCTTTAAACCAAGCCATTTATTAATTGTATTCTGGCTTGCTTTGAAGGAGCTCAGGGCAGCATATGTGGGGTTTCTGGGACGTTTTCTGTCTGCATATTGGCCAGGGTTGGACCTACATAGCTTGTGAAGTGGAACTGCATTAGTTCTCTTAGTTTGGTAGACTTCTTTTCTTTTAAAGCACAAAAGCAGACACTCTTGTCTTGATTTGTTACTAAGGGGGTTGTTTAGACCTATAACTATCTGTACATTTTACCGATAGATTTAATTGGGAAGGTAGAAGCCCTCATAGAGAACAAATAAAGAGGAACTGGATGGGAGTTGTCTGTGTTTGTAACTGGTGATAGTGCATACCAGAATTACCCAGCTGTCTTTTTGTCTTTCAGAGCAATCCTAAGCAGAGTTACAGCTTTCTAAGCTCATTGACTTCTGTGGAATTAGAAGGACTTAATTCTATTTAGGATTGCACTGATATTAGGATTATGGCCATAAAATCACCATAGTTACATGGTTGTTTGTTCTCGGTTAGTGTTTGCCAATTCTGTTTAATCTAAGAAGGTGTTTGTGGGATAAAAGGTTTTCCCTTCATGTGCAGAACTTCTGCTGTTACCTTGCGTTATAGGTGCTAGATGAGTTCTCCAGGCAAGTTAACAGAATAGACTGGCCCTCTGGATCCCCAATGACAATAAACTACACAGCTCTGGACAGTTACCTTAGTAAATACCAGGTATGGGCTGATCTTTAATTTTGCAGGTGAAGGAAGTGGAATGGGGGTAGGGTTCTCCAGCAGACTGCAGGGTTGGCTTACTCGCCTAATTTCTTTCCACATTTTTTTCATTAAAAACTGCTACAAATTCTATAAGGCACTGAGTGTGTTGTTGGTCTTGTGAAATTGACACTTGATTTCTTTAATTTGAATTTTGTCTTCATACTTTTTGGTACATGGGACTTTTTTTGTACTACTTCTTCTGTAAGATGAGTTTTATCGAGGCCTGGTATGCATGGCTCTGCCAATAACCTCAGCCCCAATTACTTTCTTACCTCTTATCTTTCCTGTACTGTGTAAGAAGAACCTGCTTTCTGGGAAGAATTAAGAAGAATAGGGGGGAGAATATGTATTTTATCAGGCCCACCAAGCTTTGTCTAGCTTGGAAGAACAGTCCACTTTCTTCATTAGAATATTATGCAAAGAAGATCCTTCTAACAACCGTCTCCAGAATCTTGGCAACAGACGCAAAGTAAAATGCTTTACTCTCTTTCAGAATCCCCGTGACGCTGATGCAATGACAAAAGTACAAGCAGAGCTGGATGAGACCAAAATCATCTTGGTAAGGGCCACAACCTGGAGCCTTGCAATGTTTATGCTTTTTAATCTGGGGCATAATTTTGGCATGGGGGGGGGCGTATTCTCGGACAGGTAGCTTTAATATGTGAACGGAGTGTCTGAAGAATAAAAGGAGATGAACACAATGTATATTTTAAACACATATGGAAACTTGGCCTGGGAGACTTTGTTACGGCCTCTTAAGCTAGGTACACCTAGAACACACTGCCTGTGGTTCTCAGTAACACTTCAGACAATGGCAGGAAAACATATGTTGTAATGGAGAAGGTGTACAACATTAGTGTTTGTTGTCATCCGTTTAGAAGTGCTTTTTCACAAGACTCTAAATGCTGTAAAACCATTTCCCTCTTTGGATGGAAGTACATGTATGGGTCTGTGTGTGTCTGTTCATCCTGGGTTTCTTTTGACAGGAGTGGCAGGTTCCCAAACCAGTCTTTTAATAGCCACCTGTCATTCTGCAATGTGAGCCCTGAGTTGAAAACATGATGCATGCAGGGGGAATTAGGTCATGACTACTATCATGGCCATGGAACACCTCTCTTTAAAACAACAACAAAAAAAAATGTCATGAATATCTGAATTCATCACTAATAAAGTTTCTTGTATTGTGGAGGAGTGTTTTGCTTTGTCCTGCCCCAGAGGTGTTTCGTCGCCTGTAAGGCCTTCTTTGTGATGAAGTGTGCACTTCCTATCGAGATGAGCAGATACTTTAATGAACTAAGGCTGCTGTTTTAATCCTCCTTTGTATTGGCCAATCCAGGCAGAATGCTGAGAGCTGGGGACAAAGCTGTGTTATAAGCATTCTCCAACTAGGGGGCAGCAGAGTGAAAAAGAATATTTACTTACTATAAAAAGATAATTTAGTAAGGCAGCGGCAAAGTTTAGCAATCTGAGGAACCCTACTGGGATTTTAATTATTTTTTTGTGTGGACCTATCTGAGCTCCTGCCCTTCAAAAGAGGGGGAAGTTGATGCTGTCCCCTCCCTCTGAGGTAGAGAGTCCCTGCCCCTATTCCTAGAAAACTGAGGGGGATCAGTTTTCACATTAACCAGGAAGGCAAGATTCAGGTAGGGTAGCCATATTGGTCTGAAGCAGCAGAACAAAGTTTGAGTCCAGTGGTGACTTAAGATGTCTGAAGAAGCGTGCATGCACATGAAAGTTTATACCCAGAATAAAGCTTTGTTGGTCTTAAAGATGCCACTGGGCTCAAAGATTGTTCAGGAAGGCAGGAGAAGAGCTCACCCTCTGTCCTTTCAGCTCAGCCGATACCTAACTTCCCGTCAGATGATCTTTCAGTAAGATTAAATACTGATACTGATTTCAGTGTAAAATAATTAAATCCCACTTGGAATGTCTCCCCCCTGTATGTGTCTGTGTGTGTCTGTTCATCCTGGGTTTCTTTTGACAGGAGTGGCAGGTTCCCCAAACAGTCTTTTAATAGCCACCTGTCATTCTGCAATGTGAGCCCTGAGTTGAAAACATGATGCATGCAGGGGGAATTAGGTCATGACTACTACCATGGCCCATGGAACACCTCTCTTTAAAACAACAACAAAAAAAAATGTCATGAATATCTGAATTCATCACTAATAAAGTTTCTTGTATTGTGGAGGAGTGTTTTGCTTTGTCCTGCCCCAGAGGTGTTTCGTCGCCTGTAAGGCCTTCTTTGTGATGAAGTGTGCACTTCCTATCGAGATGAGCAGATACTTTAATGAACTAAGGCTGCTGTTTTAATCCTCCTTTGTATTGGCCAATCCAGGCAGAATGCTGAGAGCTGGGGACAAAGCTGTGTTATAAGCATTCTCCAACTAGGGGGCAGCAGAGTGAAAAAGAATATTTACTTACTATAAAAAGATAATTTAGTAAGGCAGCGGCAAAGTTTAGCAATCTGAGGAACCCTACTGGGATTTTAATTTTTTTTTTTTGTGGACCTATCTGAGCTCCTGCCCTTCAAAAGAGGGGAAAGTTGATGCTGCCCTCTCTCTCTGAGGTAGAGAGTCCCTGCCCCTATTCCTAGAAAACTGAGGGGGATCAGTTTTCACATTAACCAGGTAGGCAAGATTCAAGTGGGGTAGCCATATTGGTTTGAAGCAGCAGAACAAAGTTTGAGTCCAGTGGTGACTTAAGATGTCTGAAGAAGATGTCAGAATAAAGCTTTGTTGGTCTTTAAAGATGCCACTGGGCTCAAAGTTTGTTCAGGTCGGCAGGAGAAGAGCTCACTCTCTGTCCTTTCAAAGGCCTGTCAGACCTCAGCTCAGCCGATACCCAACTTCCCGTTAGATGATCTTTCAGTAAGATTAAATACTGATACTGATTTCAGTGTAAAATAATTAAATCCCACTTGGAATGTCTCCCCCCCCCCTCAGTATAAACAGTGTTTGTAAATGGTATATCCAACTTGGAATGTCCCCCCCCCCGTATAAACAGTGTTTGTAAATGGTATATCTGGCAGTATAAAAGCTGTCTCCAGTTAAAATCCATGAATGGCTTAACTGAATAAAATGAATGTTGCTTGGTATGTAGAAGGTGCTTCAGTACATGCCAGGCACATACAGCTGGTGACTGTGCGACAGCTGGGTCTGTGCAGAGTGCAAAAAGTTAGGTCACTGACCTTTTGGGAAAAAAAGGAAATTGTGTTTTCCAGGCTTCTAAATCAGGCCGTGCTCATTACCTTTATATTAAAGTAAAGCAGAGGTGTCGTGGAAGAGGGGGCTAGAAAGTAAGGCTCAGGGGAATTTTGTGATGATGGTATACTTGCTGCCTGCAGCTGGGCTTATGGAGTTGTTGGTGGCATAACATGCTCCTCCTTTTGGCTTTTCTCACTTAGCACAATACCATGGAGTCTTTGTTAGAACGAGGAGAGAAGCTGGATGACTTGGTGTCCAAATCAGAGGTCCTTGGAACTCAGTCAAAAGCCTTCTACAAAACTGTAAGTCCATTCAGGCCAGCACTCCAGCTCTCCTGTAACATCAGTTTCTTTTTGTCTCTCCAGCTGAGTATTTTGAGTCAGTGAGAGTATGGGTCTTTCTAAGGCAACGAACAGTGGCCATGTGTTGTCTGGGAGAGGTGCCACGAAATGCCTGAAAGACTGGGGAGAACTCATGAGGTGCTGAAGTGTAATACTCTGCCTTCTAGGTTAATGTTGAGTTCCCTTGCTGGCCCTGCAAACAGATTTCAGTTTATGTGACAATTGTATGGCAGAGTTCTTCCAAATATGCAAGGCTGTCTTGCCACAGTAGGGCCCCGGTTACACGGCAAGGTTGCCGCGGGAGAGGCACGGATGGTGGGCGGATTATCCGGGCACGATCACACCCCAACATCTGGGAAGTGGCGCGCACCCGTGGCTTACCGCTGAAAATGTGCGTTAAGGAACTAGTACCTCCAAAGTACTAGTAAACATTTGCCACAGGCTGCCTCCAGACTCCCATGGTGTGATTGCGCCGGCGTGCGGCATTCCCCTCCAGTCCCTCGTTTACCCGCCAGCACCGAGGGAAGGACACGTGGTGTGCCGCCGGCGCGTCTGATCGCGTAATCGCGGATCAAACTGCGCTGGGGCAATTAGCCACGCCTCCCCCCCGCGATATCTGGCCTGTGTGACTGGGGCCTAGGTTACTCTAAACTCAAAGGGTAGTGAAACACGAATGGCTGTTGTATTCTGCTGAAATGCAATGCTTTGCTCTGGCTTCGTGTTAGCATTTTGGGTTCCATTAGAGTATTGAATGTATTCTTTCCTACCGCTTGAAAAAAATGCTGTCTCCAAATTACCACATTGTATGTGGGATAATGGCTTTTGGACCCAGGCATTTCATTTGAGTAGCAGGTAGTGCTCAGTTCGCACCCAGAATTCCTTGCAACTCACAGTTTTAGGAGGAGGAGAATTCATGGCATAGACCATTTTAATTTTTTTTAATACGGCAACTGGCATAATAAATGGGAGGTAGCCACCCAGCTTTTTTGCTGGAGGTGAAATGGCAGGATATTCATATATCTTAAAGACAAGAATTTGTTGATGGTGCCAGAAAAAAGCGTGTAAAAAGCTTGTAAACAAAGTTTCATAACTGTTCTATTTGGACCGAGTACAACCTGGAGATAGAAACAGACTATGGAAGGAAACACCTTGGTCACGTTGGCCTGTCGCATTAGCATTAGGCTTGCCGTGGCTGCTCTTGTATGACCTCTGCCATGTGGGAGCTGCTGTTCCTTCCCATCCTGCTTAGTGCTCAGGATGGGACTTCTGAGGACTTGACTTGTTAACCTGTAAATGGAAAGCCTCTCACTGTGTGTGTGCTTTTTTTTTGAAATCCTCTTAAGGCGCGAAAGCAGAACTCATGCTGTGAAATCATGTGACCCTGTCAGCTGTGTCCCACCTTCTGCTCTGGACTATCAGGCCTTCACTCACATTCAGCACTCCGGAAGAGAGGCAGCGAGAAGATGTATCCCAAAACTACCTACGATGGCAATCCTTGTTTCCAGCGTTAGCCCCTTTAGCCAGACTGGATGCCTGGAATGGGACACAGTGTTGTGGTTCATGAACTTAAACAATCTTTATTCCCCCCCCTCCCTTGGGAAGAAGACATTTTGGACTCCAAGATTTCTCTGTTATGGGAGTGAGCATAATTGTATTTTCCCCCACTAGTCTGAAGGGGCGCCGGTGGTTCCGGCAGTCTGTTTGGCAGTCACTGTAGGACTGTGTGGGGTTCCTTTGCCCTGCTTCTTTCTGAAACCTGCAATTGGCTGTGGACTTGTTCTGTATTGATTGCTGTTTGCTCATGTAACAGTAGGAGAACCATCCTGAAGGGCTGCAAGCTAGTCCCGAATCTTGAGTTTCAGGTCTCTGTGCTACACCTGGTACCAATGAGGACCCTTTGGTCTAGTTACGGAGGCAAGGCAGAAACCTTGTCAGTCTGTCACCTCATTCAAAGTCACTCTGAGTCCCTCTGTTGACTGACATGCTCGGGTGAGAGACCTGGGGTGGCCTGAGAACTGGTGCTGCTTTATTAAACGAGCAGAGGGGCTCCGTGGGGGTGGGGGAAAGGGTTCGTCTGAGTGAATTTGGACTTGTGAAACGGCTTGAAATTCTTTCTTGGCTGAAGATGGGAAGCTCTTCCTGTGCTGGGACTGTGTTTGCCAACACGAGAGGTACCAGTTGGTTGATGGGTTTTCACAACCTATTCTACTGCGCTTTGTCCAGTACAGGATTTTATTTAGAAAGGCACAATGCTCTGCAGCTCCACCTGGAAACGTGCACCTCACAACTGATTTGAGGAGGGCCTACCCGTGGATTCTAGTTGGTGGCTTGTGTTGCTTTTGCCTGGTTATCCTCCTGCACTGGCACTGTTGTGTTATGGCCACTGTTTGGTAGTGCCTGTGCCATAGTATTGACCTGTAGCCATTTGTCGATGGCATTTGTGCTGATATCCAGAAGCATCATCTGCTGCTCTCCGCTAGGAGCTGTGCCAGAGCTCTGTGAAGTTTGACCCATCTTAGCCTCTGACGTTGTGTGACTTGATGTTGTCTTGTGATGTTCTTAGCTGGCCCTACATGTCTCCTTCCTGGAGAGTTTGTCCCTGCCTGCTAGTTTTGTGTAAGTAGTAGATGTTGTTGTTAGCACCCTTCCTTCTATCAGCGATGCCCGAGTTCTGAGGCCCGCTCTGTCATGGGAGGCAAGGATACTGTTCTGCAGTTGAATTTTCCCCTCTAATTTAACCTGTTCCCATTGCAGCAAGGTTAGGTGAGAGATACGATGCTTCAAATAGATTTGTGGCTGGCAGGTGACCTGATGAAAGAGAAGCGGTGGTAAGCAGGGCTGCATTGTTGTAAGTCAACGGGATTGTGGATGGGCCGGCACAAGACTCTTATATCAGACAGGGTATTCCTCTCCCCACCCCCAGGAACAGCCAGCATTCATCTGAATAGTTGGGGTGGTCACTGAAAACGAGGGAGAGGGGAGGTGTCCTTGTGCCATCCTACGAAAAAGCTGTCCTTAAATGTCAATGGCAGATGCCGTCTGTCTGGGCAAAGCAGAAGCTTAGTGATTGAACTGTAAGGAAGAATGCCAGCCTGGCCTTCATTCTCTTCGTTCACACTTTAAAGGTGTACAGTGGTTTTTTGCTTTTGTGACCTGTTTTGACTGCCTTCAATTCTTACAACTAACCAGCTACCGAACTGCAAACCTCTTACTACTTAATCACCTGCTGATAAAAACATCAGCACTGAGCCCAGGGCTCTGCAAGCATGAAGCAGGCTGAGCAGCCTAGAGCTTTAATAAGCTTCTGTTTATCTTAGATGGCCTGGGGGGGAGTAGGTCGTGGGACTTTGGCAGCTTGGCTGCATTGATGTGCTCTCCGTGGCCATTCTTTTTAGGGAAAGGGGTTGGGTCAAAGGTTGCACCAAAGGTAGTCTCTGCTTGAACTGGCACATACGGTTGTATTGGTAAGAAGCAGTGCAACATCTCTCTTGATACCAGTGTTTGATTGCCTTAATTTTTCTTTCTCCCCTCTCTGCTTCAGATCTAGGCCCAGGGCTGTCATGTTTTTCTGTAAAGCCATCTTCTGTTGTAGCCAGTTTAGTTTCTGGGCTGTTGCTGGGGCTTTGATCCTAACAAGCATTCCTAACAGAGAGGGGTAGGTAGAGAACTGCTATGAGTTCTGTGTTCCTTGCTTACTTTGGAAGAAAGCTATTCCTCCCACTCAGCATTCTTTGAATGAAAACTGGACTTTCCCAGAGAAGTAAAGAGCAAACTGGTTTAGTTTCTGTTCTTGGCCCCCTATATTAATGTGCTCATATCTAATCCTGTTCTCTTTCTAACCGGAAAGCTTTTACTTAAAGACTGTATTTTAATAAATATTGCCTAACTTTTTGTATATGTACTGGTTACTGGATTACATCTAAATGGATAAAGTTGTTCACTTTTGATGGTTCAAAAAAAATGACTGTGTCTCATGTTATCTGTGCAAGAAGACTTACACAGGCACAGCAATGTGTTGTAATGACAGACAAGGAGGAGTGAGAGGTGGGTTCAATTCTGTGCTTGGCCGTGAAGCTCACTGGGTGACCTTGGGCCACTCAGTCATGCGCTCTGTCTAACCCGCCTCACACATAAAACAGGAGGAGCGAGAACCATGGATGCTACCCCTGAGCTCACTGGGTGAAGATAATGTGATATTCAAAGACATGTAGTTCTTGATATTCTTTATGTCATAAAGTCAAGAAAATTTGTTCAATCAATCTGAAGTTCGGCAGGTGGAAAGGCTGCAATGGGGTTAAATTTCACCAAAAAACAACCCACCAGACTTAAAACGGCTGAGTTTTGCACATACCAGGAAGAAATATTGTACATTGGCTGGTGGAGAACTTCTTGATTATATTTGATCACTTAATACTTCCTCTTTATGAAAGAATGTAGACATTATATAATGTACTAGATGTTATGTGGCCTTTATTACAAAAAAGATTTGTATATCCTTTGTTGTGTATAAAATCAGGCCTGTTTCTTTTTGAAATTTGAGAGGGATGGGCTTTAGTTGAAAAATACAGCCCTTGGTAATTCCATTCTAATTAGTGTAAATCAGGTACTTACAGCTGGAAGTAGTTCATTTTTTTGTTTCAAAAAGCAACATTTCATTCCTTCTGATATTTTTGTGTACAAATAAATGACTCCCCCCCCCCTTTTGCACTATCTTGCTACATCCTAATTATAGTTTAAAAAACCCCAACTGTTGGTTGCTGTCAGACACGCTAAGGTGAGCTGACTCTTTAAACACAAATGAAAAGGGTAAATTTTACCTCCCTTTCCAACCCAGCAGAGAGGATTCATGTAATTTATTTTTTGTTCTCAAGAAGAGATTATACAATTAAAATCCCACGTAAGAGAAGAAGAGTTAAGACAGTTATCAATTCACTTATGTTTTTAGAAAAGTGGACACTGCAAGTTGAGGCTGCCACCTTAGGTTGATGTTGTGTGAACAGTACACCAGTTACCAAAGCCCTTTTGGGTTTGCTTGCTGGTTAAGGTCCAGGCAGCTGCGCTTTTTCTTGGTGCCAGTTCGGTTTCTCAGCTAGTTGGGGTGTACGTCTCCAAACAGGACAGTTTGGTGTAGTGGTTAAGTGCATGGACTCTAATCTGGGAGAACTGGGTTTGATTCCCCACTCCTCCACTTGCACCTGCTGATATGACCTTGGGTCAGTCACAAGCTCTGGCACAGCTGTCCTTGAAAAAGAGCAGTTTGTGTCAGAGTTCTCTTAGCCCCACCCACCTCACAGGGTGTCTGTTGTGGGGAAGGGAAGGGAAAGGAGTTTGTAAGCCGCTCTGAGACTCCAAGTGAAGGGCGGGGTATAAATCCAATCTCTTCTTCTTCATGCTATATAAATGTTTCACACAAATGTCATTGGTGGAAAGTGCTGTCAGTTCACAGCTGACTTCTGGCAACCTTGTAGGGTTTCCAAGGCAGGAGACATTCAGAGTGCCCCCTTGCACTTGCTTGGTGGTCTCCCATATACCAATCACGGCCGACCCTGCTTAGTTTCCAAGATTTGATGAGCTCATGTCAAGCCTGGGCCATCCAGGTCAGGCTGCAGATTTAATTACATGGGGAAAAAGAATTCCCATTGAAAGTAATGGACATAACACCAATGCCAATTACGTGGAAAGACCTAAAGGGGGGAGGGTAGCTGTGTTATGCGTCAGTGGCAACTAACCACAAAGAGGCAAATGTATAACTTCAGTTTTAATTAAAAAGGTGGTGTAAGAAAATCTAAGTTGTAACCCATCAAAGGGCTTCAGCTGTCAATGCTTGATTTGTCCTGTTTTTTTATCCCATGTTGGCAAGATGCCCTGCTTTGGAGGCTGTCACACCATCTTCTGTGCCTGTATTCAGGAGTAGTGACATCTGACTTGCAAATCTGATACCTTGGGGAAGGAGGTAGTTCTGTTTAGCAGACTGGTGATTCTGCTGGCCAATACTCACGAGAGACTTGCCGCAGGGCTCCAGCTGCCCCTTGCTTGTCAGCCTTGTGGTGTAGGGTACAGGAGATCCTTCCCCTGTGACATTAGAGCAGACTAGACAGTAATACCAATTATGGCGCAGGGATGGAGAGTCACCCTCATAGCCCATCAGAGAGTCCTTCTGCTGCGTGAAGTGCTCATAGGGCTGTCATGGTATGTTGGCTCCTAAAATGGCTCAGTGTGAATCGTGTGTTCCCTTGGGTGCTGTTAGTAAAAGTTGTTCAGTATTGATGGGATGGAAGTAACAACTGCAGGAAACGAACACTGTCCCCTGCCATGGTTATTACAGTAGTGGGCACATGCAAGACATTGGGCACTTTCACATGTGCTGAATAATGCACTTTCAGTCCAGTTTGCAACTGGATTTTAGTGTGTGAAAGAAAAGTTCACTTGCAAATGATTGCTGAGGTTCACTATTCAGCATGTGTGCAAGTGCCCATAATAAGACACATTCAGTGGTAGCCCTGGAAGTGGAGGAAATTTGTGCTGAGGTCCAGTCCTGAAAGAGCAAGATGTGTTCCTGTGTACAGGGTGGCGGTGTGCAAAGCTGAAGATTCCATTAATCTTATTGACTTCTGCCACTATGTTGTTTAGTGTAGGATGACCAGAGGGAAAGGATGACAGTGGTCCTATCCCTTCAGAATACATATAGGAGGATTTTGGCAGATGCAGCTTGGCATGTAGAAAAAAAGAAATCTTGCACTTGTAGAAATTCCCCCTGCCAGTGCCTAACTCTCACTGCTACTCCCCCCACCTTGAGAATCAGCAAGTAAGCATTTCCTTTTTAAAATACCCTGTAACCAGAGCTTTCTTGCCTCCATCTTCAGTGGCTATCAACCTAGCAACGTTCTTTGCTCGAAGTACCTTGAAAGGCTGATTGCACAGCTTTCCATAGTTGGACAAGGCCAGACTGAACAGGTGCATGGCTTCGAAAAAGGGGCTGTCTGCTGTGCCTTCCTTTGAGATTTCATCTAAAAGGACCCCTGTTGGTTGGATTGGATGTGCAGGAATGTGATCAAGAAGGAACCAAAGCTACTTTTTTTGTCCCTGTTTTGTTTTGTTTTTTATTTGCAGTTTCCCGAGACAAAAACAAAGTCGGAATCATCTTTACACTTACAAGGCTCAGAAAGAAAAGACAGTGAAATGGCAAGAAAAAGAAAGGGAGAGTAAGTCAGAAAGAGGAAAAGATCCACCAGCATTCATGGGACAGACTTTAACAGCTCAGCTTTGCTTTTAGTTCTCATAGATATAGATATATATAGATTTTTTTTTCTCTTTAAAGGTCATGCAAAAGAAAATACAACCCCCCTCCCCCAATCCAAAAATACCCCCAGCAACGCACTTAGTTCCATAGTAAACAAGGTGAACACCAAAGGGGAGGAGGCCCCAGTACATTAATGTTTAATAATGAAACACCTGTTTCAACATGCGGCTTGTAATTTTTTTCATATACATGGATGTAGAGACTTTTCTCAGTATGTCTTCCAAAGAAACCATACAAGCATAGTATATTATGCCCCCAACTCTGAACTCTCACCCTCCTTGCACATTTATCCAATACCCACCTCCCCTATCTTCCAACCCCTCCCCTGGAAAAGAAATGCAGAAAAAAAAAGGTGCTCTGAGAGAAAGACCAGTCAGTCATCCTGTGTGGGCCGGCTCCACCCATCACCTCCTCCCTGGTATACAGCTGGACATTCCCCTCTTGGAGGCACACTCTCCCTCCGATGGGGAAGGGGACGAGTCACCTTGGCTTGTTTGTTAGATTCTGTTTGTGTGAATGGATGCGGAGGGATAAACTTTTGATTTGACCTTTAACCCCAGCAGTCTGCATTCTGTTCTCCTGAACACCCTCTTCCCACTGCAGAGGGCATAATGGAGTTGGGGAAGGGAAGGATGGCAGGGGTACATCGTCTCCTAAGCCTCATCTAGAAAGAGGAGCATCATTTAACACTTTCTGCACCACTCAGCTCCTGAATCCTTCTCGTCGGGTTTGGCGGTGCAGTGCAAAGCCCAGTCTCGGGACAGGGCAGGAGTAAGAGATCCAATCTCTTTAGAATAAAGTGCTTTCAATGCTGTATCAGTGCTGGTGGGACACCCACCCACCGATGCCCACCCTCTCTTCTCCCTCCCCTCTCCCCCCCCCCATTCTCCCACCCCTGCTCAGTCATTCTGGCTTGGTCCAATAGGTCCTTACATTCATTGGCCATGGGGAGTGCTGCATGAGGTGATGAGGATGTTTGAAATGTTGCTGTCTCAACCGGTCAGAATCCATCAGCTATGGTCACACACACGCCGTGCATTTCCCCTCTGAGTAGCAGAGGAGGTGATGACTCTCTCATATCCAACAATTGAATGAATGGATACGCCAAAATGTCTTCTCATTAACTTCAACAACGTAGTGGAGATATTCTTGAAGGGAACCACCCCCCTCCCCATTACTTACTCACATCTCATTGCATAGGGCAAGCGGGCAGCTCCGTAACAGTAATATACAGGACCATGTCTATTGCTCTCAAGCAGATCCTCAGAGCTGGGCTAGCAGCTCTACAAAGAGGTGCTAATGTGCAAAGACATCATTCAATCTAAGACTGGCATGAACTTTGTCTAAACCCTGAACCACGGCCAACCTCCCCTTCCCCCAAGGCACCGCTATGCTTTGAACATTACTCTCTGTGCTGTCATTTGAGCACACCAACACCTTGACACCTCATACCTTCAGAACGGAAACTTGCATTGCCAAAGGCAGAGCTGCTCATTAGTGTCTCAACACCTGCAC